CAACACAGAAGCAGAGATTCACACCATTAAGAGTTGACTGTAGCAATAACCATGGTGATTGGTTGGTTTTATAGCCTCAGCAATAGAGGACCAAAGAGGATCAGGTTGAGTTTCCCGCCCCCCACTCACCTTTTCTGTAGACATTTGCCATCCCATGCAATTATTATCATTTCATGATGAATGGTACTTTGGAAATATTGGTCAGGTCAGTAGCCGGAGCTCCCGTCAGTAATCCTTGCCCAAATCCCTCTTAACAAATCTACATTCTGCAGAATCCTCCAATGGCTGCTGCCTGGTACCTTCTCTCCAACCCCAGACTGTCTCCCTCAACACGGAGCCCGTCCCTGGGGGATCTTGCATGAAGGAGCTTCCCCAGCATCTAAGTTTGGAAGGAACATGCTGCAGAGGAATGGCTTCCTTTTCCCACTGATTGGGCCCATTTTTCTCCACACTGAAGTGCATAAAGTAGGGCACCACGTGGCCTGTCATCAGCAGTAAAACAACAGTGTATTGTCGCCACTGAGATCAACGTAAATCAACACAAATAATTATACAGAATATCATGCCTATTGAATGGCCAGACTAAAAGCTGATTTGGAGGGGAGTACTATAATTTAAAACCAAGAGGAAGGTCCCTCACCAACATTTCCACTGGCAGGTAAACAAACTGCTCTGCAAACACAGGATGAAATGATGCTGAAGCTCAGACTCAGTATATAGTGCAAGACGGATGCTCCTGAATTTGAGAAGTCTTAAAAAACTTTCAACAGAATCTGTTAGAGAACTGCAGGGAGCCTGGGGGAAATGCTGCTCTTCATCTTAAAGAGTGAAGTTTAACTGAAACCAGCTTGTGTAAGGGATCTCCCAAAACAGGGCATGTCTGTGACATAACAGCACAGTTCTAGTGTATTGCTCAGCCCTGGGCCCTGCACAGTCCCTTCACACCCGAGAAAGTGGAAGTTGTCCCCCGTAATCACACATATTGGTGTCTTACATCCTGATCCTGGAGGTGCCGAACACCTGCTGCAACTCCCACTGAAGGCAATTCTGAGGATGTGAGGAAGGGTTCAAGCTTGCAAGTGAAAGGGAATGAACCCAGGATGAATTAAAGGCACAGTACCGTGTGCATGCAAGAAACACTTCCAAATGAGCAGCTATGTCTTATAATGCCTTCTTTGGAAAAAAACATAGATCATTATAACACAAACAGGCTTAAGCTGCTGTATTAAAACCATTCCATTCAGACCCCTCAGGACCAGATTTCCAGCTAGCCAATCAGATTATTCCCTCAGTTCTGCCCTGGGGATACGGTACAATTTCTATGATCTGATCCTCACTTTATCCAAAATAGGGTCACGTCCCTGACGTCTGTTGCTTTCACTGAAGACGCTCTCAACTACGTGAATGTATTAAGTGCCTCCCATGACATTTGAATAATCAAGGTCACACTGTACATATAGCCTTTGACAATCTTCAGTTTGCTATCCATCTTTATGTGCTGAGTGCTTTTATGCACAAGGGAAATGTGTATGTTTTGAGACATAATATGCTGCTAAATAGCAGGGTTTCCATTATTTTAATCCAAGTTGCTCAGGAGTAACTGAATTTTCCAAGTGTTAGTTGAACCCAATTAACTGATATAATACATGACGGCAGCTTTCCTGAAGGAAGAGAAACATCTTATATTCTGCTTATGTCTGGCTACCAAGGTGATTTTTTAAAAGTTTAATTTAATTAACTTTTTGAGAATGAGAATCTGTTGAAGGAGTGTCATTGACAAGGGCTGCCCGCTGCTGACATACTCTAGTACTCTGGGAAAAAAAATCTTAAGGAACACTTGGAAAAACACAATCTCATTCAGGAGAGTACATGTGGACTTCAGGAGGGTAGGTCTTCCTTTCCTAATCTCTCGGAATTCTTTAAAAATATTGTGGCAAGATAGGGGAATCGTTAAATGTAAATTTTCAGAAAGCATTTGCTAAACTTCGACATCAGAGATTAATGGCTAAGGTAAAGAGATGTTATTAGTGTGTATCTAAGGTTGTAGAAAAAATGTTTATCATATCATTTCTCAAATAATACATTAAGTGATCATATAGGTAGGGACTGTAGGTAATGCATAACTTCAAGGGTTTCAAAAAAGGAATCCTACAAAAAGTAGAAACATTGTCAAATTGCTAAGAGGAAGTAAAAAAGAATAGCACAAGCATGTATGAACAAAATCAGAAAGGGCTCAGGCAAAAAATGAGTTACACCTACCAAGGGTGTAAAGGCAATAAGAAGAGGTTATTTTAATATATTAGGAGCAAGAAAAAAGACAAAGGAAAGTGTAGGTCCTCTGCTTAGTGAGGAAGGAAAGCTAATATCTGATGACATCAAGAGAAAGTTGAGTTAATGCTTATTTCACTTCAGTCTTCATTAAAAATGTTAATTATGACCAGATATTCAACACTATATCAACGAGGGGTAAGGAGTGCAAGCCAAAATAGAGATAGAACATATTGAACAATATTTAGGTAAGTTAGATGTATACAAGTCAGCAGGACATGACAAAATTCATCCTAGGGTACTTAAGGAACTAGCTGAAGCAATTTTGGGATCGTTAGCAATTATCTTTGAGAACTACTGAAGAATGGGTGAGGTCCCAGAAGACTGGAGAAGGACAAACATAGCACCTATCTCTAAAAAGGGGAACAAAGAGGATCCAGGAGTTATAGACCAGCCAGCCTAACATAGGGCATGGCTACACTTGCAGATGTAGAGCGCTTTGAGTTAAACCCGCCTTTGGAGAGCGCAGTAGGGAAAGTGCTGCAGTCTTTCCACACTGACAGGAACAAGCGCAGTGGTGTGGTCACATTTGCAGCACTTGCAGTGGCATTGGGAGTGGTGCATTATGGGCAGCTATCCCACAGAGCACCTCTTCCCATTCTGGCACTGTGGCTTGTGGGAAGGGGGCAGGGAGTGCAGCGCATTCTGGGTCCTGTCCCAACGCCCTGTGATGCATCAGTTCGCATCCCAGCAATCCCTGTGCTTCTGTCCACATTTGGCACCATCTTTCAACATTTTTTGTACTGCACGCTCTGTCTTCCCTTTCAGTCTGCGGGAATGGAGCCCAAACTGCTGAGGAGTGTGCTGATGAGTCTTGCCAGCATGTCACGTTTGGCAGTCGAGTTATTCTTTATGATCCAAAGTGACAGTAAGGGCTCCGACAATGATATCGACTTGAGTAACGCATATGACACGAGTTTGCTTGTGGCATTCACAGGCATGCTCACCACCGTGGAACGCCACTTTTGGGCTCAGGAAACAAGCACTGAGTGGTGGGATCACACTGTCATACAAGTCTGGGATCACAAGCAGTGGCTGCAGAACTTTCAGATGAGAAAAGCCACTTTCATGGGGCTGTGTGAGGAGCTCTCCCCTATCCTGTGGCACAAGGACACGAGATTGAGAGTTGCTCTGATAGTGGAGAAGCGGGTGGCTATTGCAATCTGGAAGCTGGCAACTCCAGACAGCTACCGATCAGTCGCTAACCAGTTTGGAGTGGGGAAGTCAACCATTGGAATCGTGTTCATACAAGTTTGCAGGGCCATTAATCGCATCCTGCTCAGAAGAACCATGACTCTGGGTAAAATGCATGACATTGTGGATGGCTTTGCACAAATGGGTTTCCAAGGGGCGATAGATGGCACACATATTCCAATTCTGGCACCATCCCACCTAGCTTCCAAGTACGTTAATCGGAAGGAGTATTTCTCTATGGTTCTCCAGGTGCTTGTGGATCAGTGTGGGCATTTCATTGACATTAACGCAGGCTGGCCCAGAAAGGTGCATGACGCACGCATCTTTCGGAACACTGGCCTGTTCAGAAAGCTGCAAGCCGGGACTTTTTTCTCAGACCAGAAAATCACCGTAGGGGAAGTCGAAATGCCCATTGTGATCCTTGGAGACCCCACTTACCCTTTAATGCTGTGGCTCATGAAACCCTACACAGGGAGCCTTGACAGCAGCAAGGAGCGGTTCAACAACAGGGTGAGCCGGTGCAGAATGACTGTGGAGAGTGCTTTTGGCTGTTTAAAGGGCCACTGGTGCTCTCTGTATGGGAAGCTGGACCTGGCCGATGACAGCATCCCTGCGGTTATATCCTTGTGCTGTACCCTCCATAACATTTGTGAAGGGAAGGATGAACGATTCACTCAGGCATGGAACGTGGAGGTTCAACACCTGAAGGCTGAATTTGAACAGCCAGAGAGCAGGGCTATTAGAAGGGCCCATTGCGGGGCTGCCAGGATTAGGGATGCCTTGAGGGAGCAATTTGAGGCTGATAGCCACCAGTAATGTCTGGTGCCCTACACAGGAGTGAAGTGCAGTGGTTCCAATGTTAGTAGGAATCTGTGTTTGCTACGCTGACTTGCAGTGCCTGTTTCTTTCCTGGGCTAAGGTATCTTTTACTTTATGCAATAATAAAGAATGTTTTCAAAGACAAAAAATCCATTTATTGAAAAGAAAAATTCATTTATTGAAAAGAAACACAACTGCCTGGGAAACAGAAAGGGCAGGGGGCTGGGGTGGGGAACGGTTCAATCACAGATTTGCATATGTCTTGTTATCATACTCAGCCTTCCTGTCTGGATTGCTGTGGAATGAGTGCTGCACTTCAGGATGGCTGTACTGCATGGTGATGGGGGTTGAGTGCAGAGGGTCAGGGTCGTAGTTTTCAGGGCTGGGTGGTGAAGCTACAGGTGCTGGAGGCAGCTGGTGGTGGTAAGAACCTGGATGTTGGGGAAAGTGGGTTGGAGGTGACATGGGGGCACAAGGGAAAGAGCTTTGGGACAAGGGCTGCAGGGGGGGTCGGGCACAGTAGTGCTCCGCCTGCGTGGCTACGAGTGCCTGGATCGAGTCCGCTTGGCGCTCCATTATGCTTATCAGCCGATCCGGGCTTTGCTGCCGGAGCACTGCGCTTTTGTGCCGGCGCTCCTCATTCTGCTGGCGGATCCTCCTTTCACTGTCCCGCCACTCCTGCACTTTTCAATTTTCATTACTTGAATGCTGCATTACTTCATGCAACGTGTCTTCCTTGCTTCTACGTGGCCTCTTTCTGATTCTTTGGAGTCTTTCAGCCTGTGATAACACGGATGGCTGAGATCTCACGGTTGCATCTGTAAAGGCAAAATGCAACACTTACCAGAGGCAGCATTGTTCACACCAGACAGAGCAATGATTCCCTTGTACTTAAGTGCAAGCACAGTCTACACAATAGCATCATTTGCCCGTCCCAAAGCAAGTGCACATAACCCACAGAAGTCTCAAAATGGTGAGTAAGCACAGGGTCAAGCGTGACTGATTGTTTCACGGCTGTACTGTCCTCTGGGTTTCTGTGCCTTGGGGAGAGCCAAGAGCGGCAGGGGGTCCCTATACTGAACACTGTCCCCACATTTTCCACAGGAGTTCATCCTGGAAGCTATCTCGCTGCTGAGGGTGACCTGGGAAGCAAGGGAGGGCCTTCAACTGCAATGTGGATTCCGCCCTGGCCCATATGCAGCTTGCCTGTGTGCAGCAATGGTCCCCCGGCCCCTCACGGCACAGTGGCATGGACAAGTTAGCCTTACTGGGACAAGGACCACAGTGGCTCTCCCACGAAACCTGTGCAAGCACATTTCAAAGGTCTCATCTAGAACTTGGGCAGAAATCACTGAGGCCGATTACCACGATGTGAGAGAGCACATCAACGCCCTACTCCGCATCTAGGCATGCGCACAGCCCTAACCCTCCTCGCCCTAAGAGCCCGCACCAAATAACTTTCTTCCCAAAATAAAAGCCGCTTACTGGGAACCTCCTCTGGTGTTTGTCCTTCCCCAAGCACCGGCCGCCGCGACTGGCTACCTTCCTCCTGGCTTGAGAACAGCTCCTGGCTGCATGCATCTAGGGATTCTGGGGTGTCTTCCTCCGCCTCAGCACCCTCGCTCCTGCTTTGCTCCTCTTCCTCCCACCTTGTTGAACTGGGCTCTGAAGTGTCCATGGTGGTACTCGGAGTGGAGGTGGGGTCGCCCCCAAGTATCACGTCCAGCTCTTTGTAGAAACGGCAGGTTGCGGGGGCAGCACCAGAGTCTGTGTGTATATAAAGTCTGCTGCAGTTTCCACGGTAAACATCTGATGAAGTGAGCTGTAGCTCACGAAAGCTCATGCTCAAATAAATTGGTTAGTCTCTAAGGTGCCACAAGTACTCCTTTTCGGTTTGCCTCTCGCGCTTTGCAGTCGGCATTCCGCAGCTCCTTCACTTTAACCCTGCACTGCAGTGCGTCCCGGTCATGGCCTCTTTCCATCATGTCCCTTGATATCTGCCCAAAGGTATCGTAATTCCTACAGCTGGAGTGCAGCTGGGACTGGACAGCTTCCTCCCCCCAAACACTGATGAGGTCCAGCACCTCGCCATTGTTCCATGCTGGGGTTCGCCTGGCTCGTGGAGGCATGGTCACCTGGAAAGATGCACTGAGAGCACTCCATGCCTGGCTGAGCAAACGGGAAGGGGATTTTCAAAATTCCCAGAGAATTTAAAGGGCAGGTCTGATGGTTGGTCACCTGAGGGCAGGGCAGTAGAGTTCAAAGTGATGACCAGAGTGGCCAGAACAGGCATTGTGGGACACCTCTGGAGGCCGATCAGAGCGCACTAATGGACCAGGTTGTCCACACTGGCAACGCGGTGCTCCCGTGGGGGTGCAGCAAACGTTACTCCACTCGCCAAGGTGGTGACCAGCAGCGCTGTAGTCATGGACTCAGAGCGCTCTACGTACCTTGCCAGCATGGACGGGTAGTGAGCTAGTTTGCCCGGGGCTCCTTTATTGCACTGTAACTCGCAAGTGTAGCCAAGCCCTTATATATCTGGAAAGATATTGGAACAATCTATTAAACAATCAGTTTGTAACCACCTGGAGAATAATAGGGTTATAAAGAACAGCTAGCTTGTATTTGTCAAGAACAAATCAGGCCAAACCAACCAAATTTCCTTCTTTGACGGGATTACTGGCCACATGGCATTGTCATAAACAAACTAGGGAAATGTCATCTAGATTAAATCACTATCAAGTGGGCACACAACTGGTTGAGAGACTATACTTATCAATGGTTCATTGTCAAACTGGGAGGTTGTATCTAGTAGGGAGCTCACAAGTCAGTCCTGAGTGTGGTACTATTAAATATTTTCATTAATGACTTGGATAATAGAGTGGAGTATGCTTATAAAGTTTTCAGATTGCATCAAACTGCAGCAAAAACTTTGGAGGACAGGATTAGAATTCAAAATGACCTTGACAAATTGGAGAATTGGTCTGAATTCAACAAGATGAAATTCAATAAAGTCAAGTGCAAAGTACTTCACTTGGGAAGCTAAAAATCCAATGCATAACTACAAAATGGGGAATAACTGGCGAGGTGGTAGGACTGCTGAAAAGGATCTAAGAGTTATAGTGGATCACAGATTGAATATGAGTCAACAATGTGATGCAGCAACAAAAAAGGCTAATATTGTTCTAGGGGGTAATTAACAGTACTGTTGTATGTAAGACATGGGCGGTAGCTGTCCCGCTCCACTCAGCACTGGTGAGGCATCAACTGGAGTACTGTGTCCAATTCTGGGTGCCAAACTTTAAGAAAGATACAGATAATGTGGAGAGAATCCAGAGGAGAGCAACAAAAATGATAACAGATTTAGAAAACCTGACATACAAGGAAAGGTTAGAAAACTGGGCATGTTTAATCTTGAGAAAAGAAGAGTGAGGGGGGACCTGGTAAGAGTCTTCACATACGTTAAGGGCTGTTGTAAAGAGGATGGTGATCAATTGTTCTCCATGTCCACTGAAGATAGGACAAGAAGCAATGGGTTTAATCTGCAGCAAGAGAGATTTAGGTTAGATATTAGGAAATGCTTTCTAATTATAGGGGGTAGTCAAGCTCTTTAACAGGCTTCAAAGGAGGTTGTGGAATCCGCATCATTGGATGTTTTTAAAAACAGGTTGGACAAACCCCTGTGAAGGATGGTCCAGGTTTACTTGGTTGTGCCACACTGCCTGGGGGTGGGCTTAATGACTTCTCAAGGCCCCTCCCAGCCCTACATTTCTGTGATTCTATAAGGGGCAGAATTAAGGTTGCAATATTGTTGCCTTCCCTCCTTTACTGTGCCTTTTGTATGCAGCAAGAAAGTCAGCACTGAGCAGTTTTATTATTTTATAGAAAGATATTTTTAAATGAAATTTCAGATTGCCCAGCACATAACTTGATGCTGCAAAGGGATCTGCAAGAGTGGACCTTTCTGCTGAGTAGAGTCCCCTGGAGTGTAGTGTCAATCAGAACAAGCTCACTGCTATGGCAATAACTAATTACAGGAATTTATTTGGAGACAGGCTTCAACTGATTTAGTATGAATGAATGAATTAGGCATTACACTTTTTTTTCTTTTAGTTTAGGCATGACGCAAGTAATAGACAAAGCGAAAGCAACTGTAATGACCCATACAGCCCAGCTGTTAGGAGACGTGGGTTAAAGTTTGGCCTGATGTAAATCACTCCTGGATTCAATCTAAGTTAGCTCCCACTGCCTCTACCTGGAAAGCTGGGATGGATTTTAGGCCACAGAGATATTTTAAACAGAGAGTGGAGATATTCTAAAATGAACAGAAAAAAGAAAGCAGGTGGAAGCAAAAGAAAGGGAAACAGAATAAACAAGACACGTTTATTATTAAAATTTACAAACCAAAATGTTGCAACAATCGAAACACAAAGTGTTCTATTTTATTAAAATGGGGTCTAAGAGATCAACAAAAATGTGACTATTCTCTCCAGGCTCTTGTAACTCAGCGAGGTATCTGAGCGACCACAGATCCCTCCATTGACTGCTCTGGGATGCACAAGGAGTCTGGTAAAATAAGGGTAGCAATGAGACACTTTTTGTGAGCCCCTCAGAACATACTGCTTGGGCTCCATGTGCACACCAGCCAGGCCGGGGTGCGGCTACATGTTGCCTGGCTCCTGTATCTCTCTCTAGCCGTTCCAGCTTCTCCCTCATCAAATCTTCACATTCATTTGCTCACTGGCCCTTATCCTGTAACCCACTCCAGACGGAGATCTCCAGGGAGTAATCCAACCCCACTTCATGCAGGGCCACTTGAAGAACTTCTAACAGTCTCTAGATCAGTGTTTCTCAACGACCAGTCTGTGGACCAGCACCAGTCCCCAAGATCTCCCTGACACAGTTTAGGAAGGCAGCAAATCAGTTCCTGGTCTCAAAAAGGTTGAGAAACACTGCTCTAGATGATCCATTTCAGTTTCAGCACCTACCAACGGCCATCCCACAAGGCAACATGTTTATTAGATCAGCATGGGGGAAAATAAGGGACTGGGATAAGAAGGAAAATAGTATGTGCAGCAAGTGAAATGGAACCAAAAATACCTTCTTGTAAGCGACAGCAAGCCCAGGGCATTTTCACCTTTCTCTCCCACAAGCCATAGCCACCGACACGCTCTGCAGACCCAACCATCGGTAGGAGAAGGATGTTGTAACTCAACAAAATGTAGGCACAGCCTTCGTGGGCTTCTGACTCTGTTACAGAGACGTTTCCGTGTGGGGCCCAACGTTTGTGGCGCTGCCAGTTGCCGCGGGGCACAGGGCCTCACCCCGCTGGCTTGAGGGAGGTGATACACGCACAGCTACCTCAGCACTGAGGCCTAGTGGTGCTGGAGCTGGTACCAGGTGGCTTCTCTCTCCATTTCCCCTCAGCCAACTCCACTCTCCAACCCCAGGAGCTTCTCCTCACGATGGATCCCCAGGTTTGTCCTCACTGCCATCCATGAGCCTACCAGTTGGGTCTACTAGCAGTTGGGTGGGGGTCACACGAGGGAGGCGGATACCTTTTGGCCACCACCTGGCAGCAGGAGCAAGTGGCGTTCTGAGGACACCAGAGTTACAGGATTGCCTCGGCTATGGCTGAGCCATTGTGGCGCTCTCAGCTAGGGCAGTTGTGACCCTAACACAGGGTGCTCTTTCCTACAGTGGCATTCTTCTGCCTGCTCAAAAGAAATAAATCAGACCCAAAACACGTATTGCCTGTCCTCGCCCCTTCTCCCCATTCCCATCAACCGATGCTACACCACACTTGGTCTCCAATTTAAGGCAAGGCTCACAGGCCACTCAGGAAAGCAAAAGCTGGGCCCAAGAGGCCTTGCCTTCTTGAGCTCTCCATTAGTGCAGGTGATCAGGCTGAGTGATGTGACTCCAGCCCCAGGGCTTTTAGGGAGGCAGTGTCTACACGCAGTGGGATGGAGAGGCAGAAAAGGAAAGCAATCAAGCTGTTGAAAGCTGCTGCATTGCTTCTCCTCTCCTGGGATGCAGGGGGTGGAGCAACATCAAGAAAACCCAAACTCCTAGTATAGGTCCTCCATCAAGGGAAGAGAGTGAAGGCAGAAAAAGCCACTTCTGCTTCTGCTTCACAGGGAGAAGTGAGTGGCCCAGGAGAGGAAGCCCCTCCTCACACTTCCCTTTGGGGAAGGAAAGGAGGAGACCAGACCATAAGGGCCTCTCATGTTTCTCTCCTCCAGTGAAAGGGTGTTTGGGGGGTGGGGGGCTTCCTGAATGTGGAGCAAGCTTCGGGCTGGGGGGGCAGAAAGGAAAGGGAAGTACATGGGAGACATCCCGCACAGGGGGAGTACATGTGATGGACATCAAAAGGGGGAGGAGGGCCACCAGCACCGTTCCCTAAATACCAATGCCTGTAGGAGAGTGGTCAGAGGAGGAGCAAGAGAAGCCAGTCATCAGACCCTGATGGTGCCTCCTGTGTATCTTATTTGTAAAGAGTGTCACAGGGTGACAGTGGCTCTCTGAGGGAAGAGGTCAATGCACCCATGACTCCTCAGCTGACCCCAGTTTGGCTTAAGAGAGGACACCTGAGTCACAGAAGGAGGAAAGTGCTGGTGGGTCAGAGCTGCCTTGTAGCAAAAGAACAGCAAGTGAGAGCTGCTAGGAGACTGTGGGAGGTCCCTGGATAAACTGGAGGAGCTTCCTGGGGGAAGGCTGAAGAGCAGCAAGAGGGGTTTGCCAGCTGAGTTTCCCAAGCAGAGGACTGAAGGCCAGACACCAGTGGAGGGTCTAACCCACTGGTTCTGCCACAGCCTCCCCTGGGGGTCACGCCAAGCGGGGTCACCCTAGACACGGGCTTTACAAGGACATCATCCATAACATACTTCTTCTCTGATTACAGATTTGCCTCACCCCCTTCCCAGACTACACAATGGCTCCATGAAGCAGAGTCCCTCAGGCTAATGGATTTTCTCACAAACTCTTTTGATGCTCTGAGTAGTTTGAATCAGCAACCCTCAATATATAAACTATCCACTGTGCTGCTAACTGTCAGGGATGTGATTAAAAAGAACCAACCTTTTTATTTCCCTGCTGAGGTAGCTCTTGATGGTGAGGAGATAACATTTGATTTCAGTTTTTTCACTAGACTGATACTTGCTTTATGTATGGATTTTGTTGTGTAATTGCATGTTGATTGCTACTTTTTCATAATACAAACGATGAAATTACTTTTTACATCCTTTTTGATTAGTTGCTAGCCCTATTCATCTAGAAACCAAACATGGAAGCGAAGAGGGATGTTTTAACCCCCGACTCCCTACTGAATCTGACAATTCTCTAAGTGGTACAGTGAGGATGCATTACTATCCCTTTTTTAAACACAGTGGGATTACATAAATGTAGGAGACTAAAGATCCTTGGGACAAGAACTGTCTAGCCAGACACTTAATACAGTTCAGACACAAGAAAAACAGGATAAGCATCCAGTATGTTGGTGTTGTGTTTATTGTAATATGCACAGTGGGTCAAATTCTACTCTTGTAGTTGAACTGGGTGGTCACAAAGTTACTGTAGGGGGGGATTGTGGTACAGCTACCCCTACTTCTGCACTGCTGCTGGCGGGGGCTCTGCCTTCAGAGCTGGGCAGCTGGAAAGTGGTGGCTGCTGGCCGGGAGCCCAGCTCTGAAGGCAGAGCCCCCGACAGCAGCAGCAAGGGTGGCAACACCAGGACCCCCCTAAAATAATCTTGCAACCCCCCCTCTGCAACTCCCTTTTGGGTCAGGACCCTCAATTTGAGAAACACTGTCTGCCCCATGAAATCTGTAGAGTATTTGCTAAAAGCACACAAAAGACCAGATTTCACCGGGGGGGGTGGGGGGTGGAAACCAGATTTCACGGTCTGTGAGGCGATTTTCATGGCCAGGAATTTGGTAGGGCCCTACTCATGTGATTGAGCTTTCACAAGCAACACCACTGCAGGTGATAGGACGATTCACAGCCCAAAAAGCATTGTGCAACTTGCCCTACATTTGGAAAAAGCCACACTGCTGTTTGAATTTAGTTCTTTCTGCAGTGTTTTCCTGGCACTTCACTTGCCAGTTGGTTATTTCCTCCTTTTTAATTCTTAGTGTTAAAATGTTTTCTTGTATCCAAAAGGTTTGTCTTTTTATTAGTTTTCATAACTGGGCATTTTTGTTAGAGAAAGCTTTCCTTGGAGATTGGGACATCTGGTCTTTACATTGCTTTCCTTTTGCAATCACAGTATTGGCACAGGGAAACATAACCACAACTGCTGTGTATTGTTAAATTTCTGACTTTGGAAGCTGTGTTCCTATTCTCAGGGGTCAAAAACAAGTCATTCCCATTCCAAACTGTGCTTCCCTGTTATAAAGTATCTGCTTGTATAAACTTCACCTTCATGTGTTCATTTTACAATTTCAGTCCTGAAAATCTTGTTTAATAATTTTGTAACCTGACCCAACACCTCTGAGATTGTTCATCTTGATGCCTTGAACCAGCAGTCCACCCTTAACTTTCAAGCATGTGCACCGTCGTGTTGATTTCAGTGGGACCATCACACCCTTCAGCACCTGCCCACACAACGCTAATTCAGCTTCCTCTCAGCACCGTTCAGGGCTTGTTTAGCTCCTCTAACCAAGCAGCAACTCAGTTATTTCATTTCTCCTTCCTGACAGGACACATGTCCAATTTATTTCCCCATGCTGGACAGCACCAATTGCCCCAGTTTATCGTCACCACATCCAATTCCAGGGCTCCACTATCGAGGTTACAAGTAACTCCTAGTGATTCTAGCTCAGAGAGAGATATAGGATGCACCAACAAGAGGAGGAGACAGGATACTTTAATGGGACGCAGGCCACACAGACTTCCAAAGAAATGTACTGGAGTCCTGGTTAACAGCCTGCTTGGCAAGAACAGAGCAATCGGTGAAGACCCCAGCTGAGATAACCAGTGTACTGTGTAACTAAGCCTAGAACTGAGCTAGCTACTCTTAGTGCAGCAGTTGGTCTGTGTTTATATCCTGCTAACATCAATTTTGTTTGTGATTTTCTCATATCATATGCCAAATAAACTTGGCTTTTATTTACTGTGCCTGGGGCTTGATTCTCCCCCTATGGAACTGCGAGTAACTTATTGATTTCAAAACACAAACAACAGGGCCAGCTCAGAGTTACCTGATGACTTCATGTGTTCAATTCTCCATCTCTAGCATCCATTAGATTGCCATCTCGGATCCAGCATGTCTCTTGGGAAATGTGTGGGATGTGTCCCATCCCTGCGACCCTTTAATCTGGAAAAGAAAAAAAAAACATCAACCCAGTTTGATGCCCTTTTGTTGAAGGACTCCATTTTCTTCAAACTTCCAGGATGCTTTATACTATGCCCACGGGCCATCCCGGAGGTGTGGATTGCTGGAGCGCAGCTTGCTGCAGACATGCCCCTCCTTACCTCACCTCTCTCACCCTTCACAAGGTGGAGCTGCAGGCCCGGTGGCATAGGAGTTGGCTACACCAGCCCTAAAACAGCTGGCTCCCCAAGCCTGAGATCCCCAGCAAGGAAGAGCAGGCTGCTTTCCCGTCCCTTGCATGCTGTGAGTAGCACAATAATGGATCCTCAGCCCTGCTCTCTTTATCAGCACGACTATGGCCCTATGGACACAATAATGACCCACAACAATTACTATTTTAGTGATACATAAATGAGATCAGAGCTGTATAAAGCTCATGTGATTAATAGGTTAATGCATAATCTACGTGGACAGTCCTTCTAGGCCTTGGGTCAACCAAACTGCTGCTTTTCCAATATTAACTTGCAGAATCTTATTTATAATACAAAAAAACCTGCCAAATTTCTGCTATGGGGTGTCCTTTACACAAAGGTGGCTTTAGTTGGGGTCCCTGGGTGCAACTGCATCCACAGAAATCAGGCTAGGTCAGAGTGGTGACCTGCAACACAGGGCAGAGGGTCGCAATGCCACCCAAACTGAAAGGGAAGCTGGCCGTCTGAGCAAGCGGCATTGCGATCCTGTGTGCCAAGTTGCAACACCACACAGGATTGGCCCAGCTGCTCCTCTGTCATGACGGAGCAGTGAGACAGCCCAATTTGTGTGAGTGGACCTGGAGCGCAGAGTCACAGCACAGCTCAGGTTTGGGGCCCACCATAGATAGCGTGGGGAGCTGCTTGCCCTCCCTGGCTGGGCCCTGATCCCACTGGCATCGTCACCAACATCCTGGTGGGCCCAAGCTGACCTGCCAAGCCAAGACCCCAGAACTGGGAGCAGGGCTGGGGATGTCACTCCCACCAGCAGCGGGGCTGGAGCTCATGGAGATGTAGGACCAAAAGAGCACCCTGGCTACGTGTAAAGCAGAGCTCCCCACATACTCACAGGCAGGACAGTGACCTGGCCTGGGCCCTATCTGACCTCCTGCACCCCAGCATGCTTGAATAAGGAAGTTCCATCTGTCCCTGCCTTTAAAAACCCTCTTGGATTCTTAAATATGACCGAAATATTTTCAGATCCATGTGATTTAATTATTTCTCCTGTTGATGAGTTGGGCCAAAAAGAGATGGAACATCTAGCATGTTTCTGGAGTGTCTGAGACTACAAAAGCCCTTTATAGATTTAGTCAGAGATACCAGAGGTTACCTAGTACACCAATAGTCTGGGATGCTTTTAATTTGTAGCTTTCTTAGACTACAAGAAAAACCAACCAGGAATCAAAACCACTAGCTAAGAACACAGAGCACAAGGAAGCTGAATATTCAGGTAGCTGTATTCCTGCACGCAAACCTGAGGATTCTAATCCCCTGTTTGGTGCAAGCGCTCTAAACCATTTGAGTCATTATAAAGAAGGCAGGAGTGGGGCTCCTTCCTAATTACTTTTCACCACAGCACATTCTGCCTCCATTACAGAAAATGAAGCCTCCATGCCATCACAGATGTCACACTCAGAGCTCTGATCTGTACACACGAGTAAGCTTTTCAGCAGAGAAGCCAATTGTACCACGCAATTGAATTAATAGATTGAGGTGTTGTAGATAACCCACATCACCATGAAAATTCAGGTACCAAGCCTCAAAACAAAAGGTTTCACCAAATCATAAGTAGGATACCCGTAGCATTTTGATGTCTTTCATTCTACTTGCTCAAGGGGCAGAACAACATTCCTAAACTGATTGTCATGGTAGGGAGCACACGGCCTCCTATGGATAGGAAGACATCTGGTTTGTACACATGGCATAATGACATTGGCTATGCTTAAGCAGAGTCTTTTGTCATTACTTTTTGCTTAAAGTTAATGCTTGTGAAAGTTTGTGGACTGACAGTACTGTCAACAGGCACCTTATCTACAGCACAGGCACGGCACTCTCCTTCTAGCCTTAAACGTGTCTCAGTTTTGAGATGGAGAAGCCTGGGACAGGGAGATGTGAAGAATTCTCCTTCCATTTATTCCTTGGTCTTTCTGCTGAGACCAGCAGCCATGACTGCGTGAGTGATCATGACTTCACTCACTACAGACCTGGTCCACATTCATACCATCCAGTTAGAAGTGAAAGGTATGGACCCATTACCACTATAACCAAGGCATCCCAATTCCAAGTCTACTATTTTCTTGTATTCCAACTCAAAAGCAGAAAGCAGCAGTGACCATTAACATAACAGGTTGGGAAAACAAAGAATTAGCACGATTTCAGCATAATTGCTTATAGCCCAGTGCACTCTCCTTGAATCTCTTAACCCTTAAAAAGGATTAATCAGTTCTTAATTGCTGATTAAGTTAATTTTAACCTAGTTCTTACGCCGTAATTGATGGGCATTGTTTGCAATAGAGTTTTATAGCACTTCAATACAGATGAAAAGTCTTGCTTCAGTTGTGTTCTTGTGTTCATGACGGCAAAGCACAATGGAAACCAGCACCACCTAGTGCTCAGACGCTGTGAACTGTGACACAGTTAACGAAAACACGAAGATTCCTACTGAAACCCCTGTTTAAGAGTCTTAGTCATACTGTTTACTTTAGATTAAACGGATTTTAGTAAATTACTACAGTAGCTCTAGTTTTCCTTGAGTGAAAGAATTTTGTCATACAAAAACACAGTCAGATTGCATTGGGGGTGCATACGGAGGAGTTCTGGGAGGGATTAGACAAATTTGGCATAATCATGACACTCAAATAGCCTAATCCTGTGAGGTGCTGAGTGTCCTCAACTCCTGTTGTCTTCCATGGGAGCCAAGAGTGCTAAGCCTCTCCCAGGATTGGTCCCAAAGACAATAAAAGGGAAAAAAAAGAAGAGCCACTCTGTGAAATCATACAGTGTGAGCTTCCCAAACTTACAGGTTGTACTGATGCACCCACTTATTTATGCTCACATGACTAGGTAGGTGTTGGATGGCTCCAGGAAGATTTACTTCTCACTTATACACCTTTGACAGACAGAAAGTCCTTTATTTTATGTTACATACAAGAGGTTAAGTATATTTATTAGTCCAAAGCTACCGGTACTAGAAAGCAGCCTTCCAGGATCTGCAATTATAGGTTAATGAGACTTTAACTGAGAGCCCCCCCTGTGCATCAGAGCAGAATTTGGCCCTTTAAAGTGTAAGATTAGATTTTAGTTATTGATGTGCTTTCATTGTTAAAACCGGCAAAGAGTCCTGTGGCACCTTATAGACTAACAGACATATTAGAGCATAAGCTTTCATGGGTGAATACCCACTTCGTCGGATGCATGCATTCACCCACGAAAGCTTATACTCCAATACGTCTCTTAGTCAAGAAGGTGCCACAGGACTCTTTGCCACTTGTACAGATCCAGACTAACACGGCTACCCCTCTGATGATTGTTAAAACAATTAGTTATTCAACAAGAGGAAATCTAACTTGGGTGCAGTTGTATCTGCCAGTTGGTCAACACTACAAAGGACTTGACAAAAAACTCAGTGGTTGGATAAATAATGTGTGGCCCACACATTTTGTAACCATGGCAAGAACTGCCTTCATATTCCGAAGTCAGGTATTTTAGCAGGTGACTGAAGCAAACTCACATATAGCCAAGTTAGCAGAAGTGTGCTAAGCTTGTCTACTTGAAAGTCTCACAGAGACGCCAACTCTTGCTGTTTTATCATGTGTCTCATGATATTTGATGCTTAACTTTAGAACTTCAGCACCCTTTTTGCAGCTTTTATATATTTGTTATTAACACATTAATTGTAGGGTGAACTTGTTCTACCAACAATAGTTTTACATTGTGAATCTGAGATATTATTTCTATTCCAGTAGCAATTGCAATGTGCAAGGTAATTTCCACACATGAGACACAGAAAGAGCTTATAGTCTAGAGATCACAATTTAGAAGATGTTAAGACACTATTTAGTAGCAATACAAGGGGATGAAGTATGCCTAAAAGGGTTTAAATAATACAGGAGGTAACACATGCAAGTTACTGGGCTTTGAGGTACCCAACTGATCAGTTTGATCAATCCCTGTGAGTTGATTGCACATGTAGGGTAGGATTAGGTGTTTTTAAATTGATTGCCTTCTCACCCTGATGAGCAGTGTGTGTTTGATTTTTGGAGATTCTGAGCATCAGCAGCCACCACTAACTTCAACTGAAGTTGTGGCTGTTCAGCACCTTTAAAAAACCAAACACCCCCGCCCCGGCCTACGCCAATATTACCTTTTGTGTAGATTACGAATGTGCACTGCATTCTAGTCACCTCATAATCCAACTGTGTCAGTGGTAACCAACTCACTAGTTCTCTTTTTAGTTCTCTCATGTGAGCATGAGACCAACATCTGTTGCCAGAAACATGTCCAAATTACAATTCAAATACACGGTGTCCAGGAAATCTTGTGGCACTCGAGATAACTGAGGTGCAGAAAAGCAGCATATTATTCTTTAGAACCACACACAACAGTCCTGAGTTAGCCTTGCTTTGTAGAGGGTGGAGGAATGTTTACTAGGAGGGTATTTTAAAAAAACAACAACATGTGTATCTTAAAATAGTGCCCAGGAGTCCTAACTGAGATCAGGGCCTCATTGTCTGAGGTGCAGTACAACACATACAGACAGCCTCTGCCCCAAGAGACTATGACTGTATCCGAGTGACCATAAACGTAGAGCGAAAAGGACACAGTCAAAATATTTACAGCTTTCAAAATTTACGTTCTTGAAACTCTAAGGGCCTACTTGTGAGACTTGTTTCCTCCTGGTCTTACTCTAGAGCCCACAGATAACTACCAATGCAATGAATGACA